CGGTTGTCATCATGTGATATGAACTAACTTTCCTTGTGAAACTTAGACTAGGATTAAGTGTTAAAATGTTTTTTTTTTTTCAAATTTTTTTTTTACATTCCGGAGCTGAATTCCATCATGTATTCATGGTTTTTGTTCAAACTTGTTATATACATTGGACAATGAGGAACCATGATGCATGCCTACATGTATATATTTTTCAAAACCGATTCAATAGAGCTCTTTCGGAACTACAAATGTAAGATCTCTGACATGCTCTGATCGATCATGGTCAAACTTTGTACATCATACATTATTGGTGTTCCGATTTAAGATAACCAAATTGTGGCTTTTTAGCTCTGCTGTTGAATTTGTTCAGCGGAGCTTATCACATGAGTGATTGTCCAGCGTGAATATTTTTGTCATTTTTGGTTGAAAACCGCAAGGGCGCTTGCTTCAGATTTGTTCATTTTCTAATGGTATTTTCAATGCTTTAATTGAAATAGCTCCATTGCTAACAGTGGAGCTATCTAAGCTGCTTGTTTAATGTTAAAATTTGTATTTAAGCATTTCTGGAATTTCCATTCTGGATCTTGGTTGTGCATGGTTTCATTTTGTTTAAATTTGGTTTATGTGCAGATTATAACATTCTGTAGAATATAAAAATAATCTTATTCCTAGGAGTTATCACTTTGACCAAAACAAAACAAAACCTGAATAAGGTTACATTATTCATATAGATCATCCAAATATAATACATAAAGAAGCCAAATTGGTTCAAATTTTTCACTATGAACTTCATTTTAATATATGTCCACCATCTTGAAAAATCACGTTTCTTATTTGGAATGACTTCACACTGTTACTGAAATGACTGCTAAGAAGGATGCTGATTTAATATTGTAAAGTCATGGCATACTATGACACAACCCCACACCTTCCCCGTGGCTTTCGTTGCGTATGGAAGTTATTTTCACGAGTGATGCGGTGTATCCTGCGGCCGTACTTTCACGAGCATGTTGCTTGCTGGTCGTGGATTGACTGAGTCTTGATTACCGGTTAAAATATTGCTCTTTTGGCGTTGGTAATTTTTATTTGGAACTGAGTAACGCCGCAACGTCGCCAGCAGAAACCTGGTATCTCGATGCTGATGGTTGCGGCTGCATAGCAATCGCTGATTTCACTGCTGGTGGATCTTCTGAGAGCCCTTCAAGGTTTATAAAACTCAGTTTCCAGGTGGTCAACATACATTAAGTTCTCCCAATCGTAGTATTCCATGTGATGTACACCTGACATGCCAAAAATGTTGGTGAACGATTTGAACTGGATAAGAATAGCAGACGAAAATGTGTTTACAAAATAAAAATAGTTCGGTAGCCAATGAAAATAGCAGACGAAAATGTTCATTTGCATATCGACCGTGAAAATACCGAAAACATTATTGCATGGGTGATATGCAAATTAGTTTGGGCCAAAATAAGTGACTGCCTAAAAGTACCATTACTCAGGCTGTTGTTCAAATTTCATTTCACTCGGCAAGTATATTCATGTACCCCAAGGGGAAAATATCGTACTTCTAAGTATTGTTTATTCTGAAAAACTGTACTCCTGAAGGGACTACTTTGTTTGCTCTCAGACCTCGTTTGCATATGGGTTATGGAAATACCGATTTTGATTTCAGGGACGAATCAAAATAAATTGCAGTACATATGTAATAATATAACTTGTGTTGATACACTGACAGCTTATAATGCATTTATCACACTACCACTTCTAGTATAGTCACCACATCTGGTACATCTTATAATTATATCTTTATCTATTTGACAGGTTAAAGTAGATTTATCTGTAAGTGGTATAAGTGACAGTAAAGGAGGTTCATTTGTTATTTATAACTGCGCAAGACTGTCAACATTATTGGCACGCTATTACGAAGCTGTGGAACAAGGTATTTGACAAGTTTAATTAGTCCCCATTTCAGACACAGCCTGAAAGGTGGACTATTAATTCTTATATCAATTTTATGTCTGTGACGTCTCTAACATTTTCTCAGAAATTCTGCAACAGATATCAATGAAACTTGGCAGGTTGATAAACAAGTCTCTGCCGAATATGCACGTA